CCCCACACCCACACCCACACCCACACCCACACCCACACCCACACCCCTTTTTTCCTCCAACATTTCTTTTCCAAAACTCCTAACTTCTTCCATTGAGTCAGATTGATAGAAACGTTGAGGGTCTGTCCGCCTATGGGTTCTCGAACGTGTCGTAAAAGCTAAATGCTATTTTCTAGAAACAGTACCAATATAAGTTTATACTTGTAAACGTATCCTTCTGTTTGCAGTTTCAGAACTGTTTTCTTAAAGTACTTAATTTAGTCTATATTTACAGCCACAAAATTTCCGTGTCATAGTCTATTTCACTAATTGTTCCTTCGCTAACAGAATTTTCATTGTCAGAATCTTCTTCTAGTATCAATACAGGTAGTTCTTCGTAGATTGGCTCATCCGATTCTTCATCGATAATTTCATCGGCTGGCAATTCCTGTAAACCCATAGATTGCGCTTCTTCTACAGATGAACACTGGAGTTTTTTTATCCGTTCCGTTATTTGTCTAATTTTCATATTTTTATCTTCATATTCACTGTTTTCATAACGTTGTATTGCTTTGGATAAGCAGTCACAAGCTAATTGAATTTTATGTAATTTAATATAAAGACTTGCCAACTCCTTATGATTTTCTTTGATTCTGTGAAATGACTCTCGATTGAAATCTCTAAATGGTAATCTCAGTTTTTCATCTTCCATTCGATATTGAATTTCCTTTTTCTTACAGTCAATTGCAGAAGTATAGTCTTTTTGATCTTCATGTATTTGGCCTATTTCCCAGTATAAGTATGCAATTTCATCAAATCTTGGTTTCTCTTGAGCGAGATGAATCTCGATAGCTTTTTCAAAGTTAGCCATTGCTTCTTTCTTCAATGATGCTGCACGTTGATTAACCGCTAAATAATAGTAATAGATTGCAACATTAAGATCTAAAGGAGAGTAATATTCTAATGCTTCTTCCACTTGAAGTTCTTTATATCGAATACCAATGAGTCGATTTTCTTGATGGTCCCTTTCACTCAATTTATATACATGACTTGTTTTCTCTATTCTGTACATTTGAACAAGAAATTCGTAAGTTTCGATTCTATCTTTTTTATTTGTAGCTTTTTCCAAAGAAACCAAGCACCACTCAATAGAAAGATCATCATATCTTTTCTTAGCTTCTGAACCTTCGGCTAACAACCGGTACATGTAGCTCATATCACGATAGATTTTAGCAATATCCAAAGGCATATTTAGCTCGTTATCATCTAAAAATTTTTGTTTTATTTCTATTGCTTGTTTATATCTAAGTAATGCATCGTTTAAACCATGTCCATCATAGTACGAATGCAGTCCAAGCATATTGTATTTGACGCTTTCCATCCAATTTTTTTCATCGGGAAATAAGTAATTCAGTTCATCAAAAATAAGATAGAGTTCGTCTTCATTTGGTCCCGATAGTTCACGCAAAAATCGGTCAAAACAGTTTTTTAACTTTTTTCTCACAGTTGTGGCATCATGCAGATCAATATTCTCAATCAACCGATTATTGTTACAAAGTTCTAGCTTCATAGTATAAACATTTGTAGCATCATTATATGAGACTTCATCTACAGTAAGCAGAATACCTGTCATCAGAAGGGTTTCATTTTCATTTGGAAAGTAAGACAAGTGGGAAATATCACCGTAAGGCTGAGTTTGAATTCGAATGTCCAGTTCAATTTCAAACAATACGCTTTTTAAATCATCATCTCTAGGTCCTGTCAATGAATCTAACAAGAACAAGTTGAACTGATGATCGTTTGACGTTGAGAGAAAACTATTAATTATTAACTCATTGTCTGTTTTATTGCGTAGATCTTCAATTTCTTTACTTGACATTAGTTGACCACGATAAACTTTGATTAACGGTTGATTCGCATGTACAACTTTCATTTTTTCATATTCTTTTTTCAATTGCCAGTAAACGTCTTTGATGTAAAACCCAAAGAGAAACATCAGTTCGTGGTTATTTTGACGAAGAGCGCGATTAAGTAAACGGTAAAGAAAAGTATCACGTGTATACCATTTTACTGCCGATTCTGCCGTGTATGTCTTTTCAAACTCGTCCAGGATTTTTAATTCATTGTTTTTTCCTTTATAGTAATCCTTTAAAGTTTCAATAAATCTATTGAGACATGTCGATGGATACGGCAAATAACAAAGGAAATTAATGAAAGCTTGCCAGCGATTTTTTACGGTGCTATCAGTAGTTTTGTCTTGAAGGCCAATCCCAGAGAAAACGCCTTCTTTTTCAGTTTTTAGGTAGTCATTGACATCTTTGCCTAAGTCATTAAGGAGCGATTTCCAAATTAAATGAACTCCTTTGACCTGTAAAAATTAGACGAAAAAAGATAAATATAACACTAAGCAAGACGGTTTAGAGCTTGGCATACGAAATGTTAGTGAGCGGCTGCAGAAAACTCACCTTTGAGTAATTATACGGCCACACGCTGTACTCAACAAAATCGTCACAATAAATGTAGATTGACTTAATACAATTACGTTTGTGAATTCTTGGAACTAACTCTTCAACGTGAATACCCGAACAGATCAGAAAAGTGGAAGTTTGACTAGTTTGATCGATATGATTAAGACATTCATCAGCATTTTTAAATATTTTTGTATAATCAACTATCTTTCGTAACTCTGTAACACTAATAAAAGAGTTATCATCTGTTGTTTCGGAACACCAAATTAATTGATGTGATTCGAGGTTGACATGTTGACGATCGAAAAGTTTTCTGCCACTTGGTAATAATATGGAATCTTCGTTTTTTGTAGCACTTGTTTTATTGTCACTTCTAACTGGCACTGTGACTGAGGTAGTAGCCTTCTCCGATTCAAAAGATCTGTATTTGTGCTCACTATTTGACTCGCACATTTCGCTCAATGACACAACTGTTGTTTTCACGCGACGTTCAAAAACTATGATCTCGTAATCACTTGAGGGTGGAAACTTGTTTTTAGGATGTTAGACTTAAAACTAGCGAGTGATAATGAAGCTGAATAATGTTGCAACAGTGGTTTAGCTTTTTAATGTGAGTCTTCAACCGAAAGTGTAACTAATTTCAGAGAATCACGACAGTTGCTACTCATGCTCCTTACCTTTTTAAAGGCAACAATACAGAATAGCGTGGTTTTACAGTATTGTTTTTTTTTCTATTAAATGCACTCTACACTCCATTAACTAAACAGGACGAGCAAGCAGAAGGAATAAAATATTGTTTTTTAAAAAGCTTTTATAGATTCTTTTGTAAACTTCGTTGTTCTTCAATAATTTTTATTTCTTATGCAGAAGGAATGCTTCTGTAAAGGCAAAAAAAGCAACAACATTCATT